GACCTTAACCATTGCACCACTGTGCCACCGTGCCGGGCCCAAAGCAAATAAATCTTAAAAAACAAAAAAACAAACAAAAAAAAACTTGCCTTCTTAACTATGCTAACACTGTAAAAGTAATGATGGGAAGAAATGCTGACACAGTCTTAGCATGAATCAAAGTGATGTACCTAAGTTATTCTACCTTAACTGTGCTTATCACTCTCACACATCCACTGTTTTAAAATAAATAGTAGCTGGTACGTGCTGCAGCATCCTATGTGTCTGCTGGCTGGAATTCTGGGTGCCCCACTTCCAGTCCAGCTCTCTGCTAAATGCACGTGGGAGACCAGTGGAAAGCAGACAAGGCGCCCAGGCCCTTGCACACACTGGGATACCTAGAAGGTGGTCCTGGCTTCTGGCTTCCACCTAGCCCTGCCCTAGCAATTGGAGCCATTTAGAGAGTAAACCAGCAGGTAGAATATTTATCTCTTTCCCCCTAATTCTGTTTTTCAAATCTGTTTTTTTTTTTTTTTTTAGATATATTTATTTTCACTGGAAAAACAGATTTACAGAGAGGAAAGAGAGAATCTCTTCTGTCCGCTGGTTCACTACCCAAACAGCACACAGGCTACAGCTAAGCCTGTCCAAAGCCAGGAGCCAGCAGCTTCTTCCAGCCTCCCACATGTGTGTGGATCACAAGGCCTCCACTGCATTCCCAGGCCAAAAGTATGGAGCTGGATGGGAACTGGAGCAGCCAGGGTAAGAACTGGTGCCCATATGGGATGCCAATGTTTAAATCTGGAGGAATAGCCAGTTGATCCATTGAGTCATTCCCCAAGCCAAAGAAGTAAAATCAATCTTTACCAAAAAAAAAAGAAAAAGCATGTTTGTTCTGTCCTCAGTCTCTGAAATGATCTCATGAACACTTTTCTCCCTGGAGGTGCAGAATCACATGGAGCTGCTGCCAGTTCACAACAGTGCAAAAATAGCTCTCTCAGTGAACTAACAGAATTATGCCCTATTCTCTTGACCTATTTAAATTCTGTTCAGATAATGACAAACTATAGCTGTTTAGTCAGCCTCTATGGTGGTTCCCAATGAGCCTCACCTCCTGGTATTTATATCCATTGTCAAGGGCAATGTAACCAGCAGAGAGGAAGTGATGTAGTCACTTCTGAGGTATGGCCAAACGTTTTGAGAGAAGCCAACTGCCAAGATACAGGTAGTAAGGACCTAAGGCCACTGGCACCATGGAATAACAGTCTAAGCTCCTATCTATACTGCCAGCATCCCATAAAAATGTGAGCTCAAATCCTAGCTTCTGGGCCCAGTGTGATAGCGTAGTGGTTAAAGTCCTTGCCTTACACACACCGGGATCCCATATGGGTGTCGGTTCTAATCCCAACAACCACCCTTCCCATCCAGCTCCTTGCTTGTGGCCTGGGAAAGCAGTCAAGGACAGCCCAAAGTCTTGGGACCCTACACCCGTGTGGGAAACCTGGAAGAGCTCCTGGCTCCTGGCTTCAGATTCGCTCAGCTCCAGCCACTGCGGCTGCTTAGGGAGTGAATAACAGGCAGAAGAGCTTCTCCTCCTCTCTATCCACCTTTCCAATAAAAACAAATCTTAAAAAAAAAAAAAAATCCTGGGCCCGGCGCGGTGGCGCAAGTGGTTAAAGGTCCTCGCCTTGCACGCCCGGGATCCCATATGGGCGCCGGTTCTAATCCCGGCAGCCCTGCTTCCCTTCCAGCTCCCTGCCTGTGGCCTGGGAAAGCAGTCGAGGACAGCCCAAGGCTTTGGGAACCTGCACCCGCGTGGGAGACCCGGAAGAAGCTCCTGGCTTCGGATCAGCATGGTATCGGCCCGTTGCGCTCACTTGGGGAGTGAATCATCGGACGGAAGATCTTCCTCTCTGTCTCTCCTCTCTGTATATCCGCCTTTCCAATAACAAAATAATAAAAGTAAATCTTTAAAAAAAAAAAAAAAATCCTAGCTTCTGGTCTAGCTTCATGCTAATGCGCCTGGGAAAACTGTGAAAGATAGCCCAAGTGCTTTGGCCCCTGTACTATGTGGGAAACCCAGAAGCTCTTGGCTTCTGGCTTCAGCCCCGCTCCAGTGGACATTGGGGGAGTGAATCAGTGAATGGAAAGATTGATCACTTTCTTTTTATTTATTTATTTTTTAAGATTTATTTTTTACTAGAAAGGCTGATATACAGGGAGGAGAGACAGAGAAGAAGATCTTCCATCCATTGATTCACTCCCCAAATGGCCGCCAACAGCCACAGCTGAGCCAATCCAAAGCCAGCAGTCAGGAGCTTCTTCCAGTTCTCTTACATAGCTACAGGATCCCGAGGTTTTAGGCCATCCTGGACTGCTTTCCCAGGCCACAAGCAGGGAGCTGGATGGGAAGTGGGGCAGCTGGGATTAGAACCGGCACCATACAGGATCCCAGTGCATGCAAGGCAATGACTTTTCGCCATTAGACAACTGTGCCAGGCCCTGAGCTCTTTCTCTGTCAGTCTCCCTCTCTCTCCTTTTCTCTATGTAATTCTGCCATTATCTTTAGAAATAAAACATTTATGCAACATGGATAATCAAAACATGTTCCTTCCCATTAGGAGTTTAAAATATAGTATGGCAAGAAAAAAATGCATTCACATATAAGCTAATAATGCAAGCAATATGAGTTAAGCACTAAATTAGTGTTCCAGGCAAAAATATCTGTAAACTGAGAGTAGGAAAATGTTCCTGTGGGTTGCAAAGTTAGAAAGCTTTTATGAAAGAGTCAGAACTTCAAGTGAGTCATCTTGGTGGGGGAGAACGGAGCGCTGTCAACAGAACTAATCCAGGCAGGAAGAAAGCACGCATGGCAATGCTCAAATGCCAACCTGCTGCGGAGCACAGCTCCACGTGAAGGGCCACTTTGACGGTAGAGCTAAATCTAGATTTTCTCTCTCAGAGGATGTACGACAGGCCTTAAGTTGGCGAATAAGGAACACAAAGCAGTGATGATGACAGCTTTCTAAAAGGGCTTCCCATTCTCTGTGTTTACCCCTTTCCATCTGTCCAGTGAGTCTTTAAAGTACATGCTTAAAAAAAAGAAAATAATAATAAGAAGAAAAGCACATGTTTACAGGTTAACATGCACCATATTCTGTTTCAATTTTGATGGAAGAATCTGAACAGAATAAACTACAACAAAGCAGTCTACTACAACAAAAAAAACCCATGAAAATGAAAAGTAAATCCTAGAATAGCTGTTAAAAATCTGGATATCTGTTTGCCAGAAATACCTATAAATTCACTATTTAAGTTACTATTTTACAAGACCACTATTGTGGCATGATGGATTAAGCCACTGCTCCATGTCCAATCCAGTCCCCTGTAGTCTGCCTGGGATAGCAATGGAAGATGGGCCACGTGCTTGTTCTTCTGCCACCCATGGGGGAGAACTGGAGAGAGGGCCCGACATTGGTCCAGCTGACTCTAGCTGTTAAGGGGCAGTTGAACCAAAGGATGGATCCTCACAGTCACTCGCTCACTCTCTCATTCTCTTCTGTGCAATTCTTTTCAATAAATAAATATTTACCAAAACAAATTATTTATATTTTATAATCAATATCTCTTTGGGGCTGGAGTTGTGGATTAAGCTGAGGCCTCCAGTGCAGGTATACTATCTGACTACTGGCTCAGGTCCTTGCTGTTCCACTTCCAATCTAGTTCTCTGCTGACAGACCTGAAAAAGCAAAAGGTGGCCCAACCACTAAAATCCCTGCCACCCCAGAGGGAGACACAGATGGAGTTCCAGCCTCTGGCCCAGCCTGGCTCAGCACTGACCACTGTGGCCATGTGGGGAGTGAGCCAGAGGAAGAAAGGCTGATCTTCTCGGGAACTCTGCCTTTCAAATAAACAAATACATCTCTAAAAAATTTTAAAAAACAAAAAAGTCAGTACCGGGTCCAGCGCAATAGTGTAGCTATTAAAGTCCTCGCCTTGAATGGACTAGGATCCCATATAGACGCCGGTTCTAACCCCGGCAGCTCAGCTTGTGGCCTGAGAAGGCAGTCGAAGATGACCCAAACTCTTGGGTTCCTGCACCTGTGTGGGAGACCCGGAACAAGCTCCTGGCTCCTGGCTTTGGACTGGCTCAGCTCCAACTGTTGTGGTAACTTGGGGAGTGAATCATCAGATGCAAGATCTTCCTCTCTGTCTTTTCTCTCTGTATGTCAGCCTTTCCAATAAAAAATCAACAAATCTTAAAAAAAATATCAATACCCTTCACATTCAAAATTTACACGTGGCTGTGGCAAACTGTGTTTGCTGAGTATATACATTAGTCACTGTGAGAGTGGATGCCAAATTATGGCTACTCCCTAAAAGCAAGACTCTCAAAAATACAACCCACACACATACCTGTCCTTTATTTTCCGGTTACATTGATGTAGTATTTAAAGTTCTAAGCATAATCTCAGAACTACTAAAACCACTTGAGCAGCACCCTCAGTACCTGCTCTGCCACGGGGACCCTAGGAAGACACCGAGTGGCCATTCCACATCCCCAGGGACTGATGCGGGTAGGCCGCTAGGAACACCCCACTATCCTCTCCCACTTTTCCCCAAGACACAGGAAGAAAAAAAAATGCAAGCAACTGTCTCATCCTCTTTCCCTTATTCCTCGACCCTTGCTACCCCAATCTGTGGTCCACATGGCATATCTTTCTCAACTACGCAAACAACATCAAAAATAAAATATTATAAAAATAAAGTTCTAAGTATAACATCTGACCTCCCTGGAGCATAGAAAAAAATCCAATAAAATGGCAGAACATAAAATTATTAACAAACAAATACTTAGCTCACATTTTTCCATAACTCTGATTACAAAATTAACGTAAGTTCTCATTTTACATTCTCGTCATTAAAAACCCAGGCAAAACATATGTCTCCATAAAAGGTTTCTGGAAACCTGGTCCCACCAGGCAGGCAGGATGTGGTCTGCTCTCAGGGCAAACACTTACTGTGTGAGAAGCGCTGTGTGATGGGGGTTCCAGGGTAAGGATATGTCCGGCTCTCCCACTGAATGTTGCCTTCCTGGACAGCCTTCATGAAGCCATGATAACACTGGTGGGCAACTCCTAGACAGAAGAACACAAGCCTCACTTGAACACTTAACAAGTAAATCCAAATACTAAGACTGTTATCTATGAATGGTGTTATTACTTTTAAAATATCACTTTTTTTCTTTAAAATATTTCAATTACTTTTAGAGGATACAAGTTTGCTGAAAGACTCCCAAATTTTTCATTCAAAACAAAGAATTAAAATTTTTTCCATTTTATTATTATATTTTTGACAATCTTCACACAGTTAATTAGGGTAAAAAGGTTCAAGGGCTACAGGAAAGTGGGTAAGACTACTATTTCCATTTTATTTCCTTCACGTATCTGAGGTAAAGGGGGATTTTAATGGAAAAGCCCCACTCAGTTTCCCACCTAGCCCAGGTCCCTGATGCTCCGAGGGTCTTGCTCGAGTGGTTTTGATAGTTCAGCAGTTATGAATTGCTGCCAATCTCGCCACTCCAAGCACAATGAGGTCATTGAAGAATCCACTGAAGAATCAAAATTTTAAAATTGGAAGATCCAACCCTTGCATTATGCCCCTGTCACTTTAAAATTGCAAATTAGACTAACTACTGCAGTATCCAAGCTATGTATAGAACTAATCAGAATAACAGGAAAAACACTGTACTAATCACCAACATTAAAATCTATACCTATAACATACTTGAGAAAAAAGAAAATGAATTTAGAAATGTAAACACAAATCATTCAACAAAAATTGAAATAAAGAACTAAACCGTTCTGCTTTGCACAGTACCTTTGATCAGTCGATACCACTGTTTGCAGACAAGGGCTGCGGTTTTGTGTTCCTGATAGGGTGAGAGGAAGGACAGGATGTACTCCAGCACCTCTTCCGGCAGCTCAGCCATGGATCTGTCAGGCCCGGCCTCCTCAACCGCCAGCACGGGGCGGGGCTCCTCATCTTGCTCCAGGGTCCCATCCAGCACAGTTATTTCTTGGTCCACAGCCATGAAACTGTCATCTTCACTGTCCGAGGAGCTGGCCATGACATTCCAATAGGCAGCTAGAACAGGGAAAAAACAGTCAGACGCTCAGAAACAGCACAGCTAACTGCATCCAAGCTGTTCGTGAGTTCTTTTCCACCTCAAATCTTAAATTTGCTTCTCAGCACTTTCCCACAGTGGTTGGACACACCTTCACTTGGAAGTAAGCACTCAACAACCAAGGCTTCTGAGTACATTCTTATCTACCCACTGAAAGCCAGGATGGCAGTAAAGTTCTGGTTGAAAAATTAGAAACCTCTTCTGAAGCAATTCCTCTAATCCAAGGATCAGTGTGAGAGAGCTATGGGCATGGTTACGAGAACAGGAAATGAGTCTCTTACAGTCAGTAACCAATGAGCCAAGATCACCAAAAAGGAAAACCTAACTCTGTTTCTTGGAAAAACTAATATATTATGAAGATATGAGACAAAAAATGACATTTTTTCCTAGCTTCTACATAAGATGATTCACTTAAGAGAATAGCATTCCAAGAACCAATTGACCTAACCTACCACCTCCTCTCTACGACGCCTACCATCCACACACCAATCATGTTCAACATCTTGAAACTAGATTCTGATCACCGAAAGAAAATGGAAACATGAATCACAACTTACAAAATGCTTCTAAAATAATTTATAATACTGAAGCTCTATGCTAGCAAAAGGAGCTTTCTAGAATCTTAGCAGTAATTAGCAATTGCGGGCTATCTGCAAGCCTATAGGTAGAAAGTCCTAAATTCAGGACCCAGTGCGGTAGCCTAGTGGCTGGGGTCCTCACCTTGCAGGTGCAGGGGCCCCATGTGAACCTCAGTTCGTGTCCTGGTCATTCCACTTCCCATCCAGCTCCCTGCTTGTGGCCTGGGAAAGCAGTCGAGGACGGCTCAGTGCCTTTGCAGCCACTTGGGGAGTGAATCAACAGACAGAAGGTCTCTCCTCCTCTCTGTGTATCTGACTTTCCAATAAAAATAGACACATTTTTAAAAAAGATTTATTTATTTTTATTACAAAGTCAGATATACAGAAAGGAGGAGAGACAAAGAGAGGAAGATCTTCCATCTGATGATTCACTCCCCAAGTGACCGTAACGGCCGATGCTCAGCCAATCCGAAACCAGGAGCCAAGAACCTCCTTCAGGTCTCCGAGCTGAGGCTTTGGGCCGTCCTCAGCTGCTTTCCCAGGCCACAAGCAGGGAGCTGGATGAGAAGTGGAGCAGCCAGGATTAGAACCAGTGCCCATATGGGATCCTGGCGCATTCAAGGCAAGGACTTTAGCCGTTAGACCACCGCGCCGGGCCCAAAAATAGACACATCTTTTTTTAAAAAAGTCCTAAATTCTCCTGGTGGTGTGGAGGTCAGTAATACTGCCTTAAAGCAGATTAGAATATTATATGGAAATTATTGGAAACTTTACTAATAAGCATGATACCCTAGTGGCTAAATCCTGCCCACTTCCCTTCCTTAAAAGTAGCTTGGTCTCAAGCATTTTGTTATAAATGGATTGATACACACTCAGTTACATTATTGTTTTTTTTTTTTTCAAGCAAAATAACCAGTTTGATTCAATAAAAAACATCTCCCTTTCCATCTCCTCTTAAAGTACAATTAGCAAGGCTAAATAAAGGGGCCCTCACTATTGCTACACAGTTTTTAGCAATCCTCACCATCCAAACTGGAACATTAGCAAAGGCACAAAGAGAAAACAAACTCTGGGCCCTGGCGCAGTGGTTAAGGTCCTCGCCTTGCACTCGCAGGATCCCATATGGGCGCCGGTTCTAGCAGCCCCGCTTCCCATCCAGCTCCCTGCCTGTGGCCTGGGAAAGCAGTCCAGGACAGCCCAAGGCTTTGGGACCCTGCACCCACATGGGAGACCCAGAAGAGGCTCCTGGCTTCGGATCGGCATAGCATCGGCCATTGCGCTCACTTGGGGAGTGAATCATCGGAAGGAAGATCTTCCTCTCTGTATCTCCTCTCTGTATATCCGCCTTTCCAATAAAAATAAATCTTGGGTCCGGCGCGGTGGCGCAAGTGGTTAAGGTCCTCACCTAGCACGCCCGGGATCCCATATGGGCGCTGGTTCTAATCCCGGCAGCTCCGCTTCCCTTCCAGCTCCCTGCCTGTGGCCCGGGAAAGCAGTCAAGGACGGCCCAAACCTTTGGGACCCTGCACCTGCGTGGGAGACCCAGAAGAGGCTCCTGGCTTCGGATCGGCATAGTATCTATCGGCCAATGCGCTCACTTGGGGAGTGAATCATCGGACGGAAGATCTTCCTCTCTGTCTCTCCTCTCTGTATATCCGCCTTTCCAATAAAAAAATAATAAAAATAAATCTTTAAAAATAAATAAATAAAAATAAAAATACAAGAAGACAAGCTCTGAGCTGAGCTCTGAGGACTATCAGGATTTTAGGGAACAAAACAAGGCAAAGTAAAAAGAGAAAAGATTTATTTTTTTTAAGATTTATTTATTTTTATTGCACAGTCAGATATACAGAGAGGAGGAGCAAGAGAGAAGAAGATCTTTCATCCACTGATTCATGCCCCAAGCTGCCGCAATGGCCAAAACTGAGCTGATCCAAAGCCAGGAACCAGGAACTTCATCCAGACCTGGCGCACGGGTGAAGGAACCCAAGACTTTGGGCCTCTTTGACTGCTATCCCAGGCCACAAGCAAGGAGCTGGATGGAAAGTACGGTTGCCAGGATTAGAACCGGTGCCCACTTGGGATCCACGCGCATGCAAGGCGAGGACTTTAACCACTAGGCTGTTGTGCCTGGCCCTAGAGGAAAGATTTCTAAACCAATGTCTCAAACTGACACATCCTCTGCCAATTACAGAATGGATAGAAAAACAACAACCATTTTTTTACTCAATGGATGCTTTTGGCACAAGCACACTGTTGCGGTTTGGATCACAGGGTAGATAGTAGAGCCATCGATCTACTGACTAGTAGAGTAAAACTAATTAATGGTTTTAGGATTAAGGGTAGAAACGTGATGTAATGATGGCTTCGAGCAGGTGGGCCCACTGAGAGCAAGCTGGTTCTCCAACATACCTAGCTCTTCAGAGAGGGCCCAGGATTGACGCTGAGGCCAGCCCAGCTTCCTCCTCTGAGGCTAGCTCAGCAGGGATGCAAGTGTCTCCCTCTATGCTCTGCTTTACCAAATACCTGAGCCAACAGGGTCACTCTGTCTTGAATTGTGAGCTTCCAAAGCGTAAGCTGAAATAAATCATCTTCCTCCCCAAAAAGTTCACCAGGCACTTAAAAGTAACAAAACCCAATTAATATGCACAAACGACTTAATATTTTATCCATACAAGCAGACAGTCATAATCTGGATATTCTAGTTCCTGACAGTTAATGTTTTGACAAAAAAAGCCTAGAAATAGGACAATTTGGCATAGACACTGCTGCTATTAGCAAACTGTGAGCTATTCCAACAGGCACAGAGAGCTGTTTCCATAAAACAGTCCAAATTTAATAACAGATGTCAGCTGGAATGAGTTTCCTTAATTGGTTAACTCACCACTGCGTTATTCAATTAGGATTCCCTTTAGGGTTTGGGGTGGTGGCCTAGTAGCAAGAGTCCTCGCCTTGATCACACCGGGAATCCCATATGGGCACCGGTTCTAATTCTGTATAGCCCCGCTTCCTTTCCAGCTCCCTGCTTGTGGCCTGGGAGGGGCAGTCAAGGATGGCCCAAAGCCTTGGGACCCTTCACCCATGTGAGAGATCTGGAAGAGCTCCTGGCTCCTGGTTTCAGATCGCCACAGCACCAACCATTGCGGTCACTTGGGGAGTGAATCATCAGACGGAAAATCTTCCTCTCTGTCTATCCTCATCTCTGTATATCTGACTTTGCAACAAAAATACATAAATCTTTAAAAAAAAAAAAAAAAGACTCCCTTTAATGAAACAAACTACTTCCCTAAACTACCCATCAGTATACTTTACAATCTTTACAAGGTTGACTCTCAATGAAAGCAATTCATGACTTACAAAGTAGTGCTGTAAATGGACTGGTTCTCAGGCCCTGCTCCATACCCACAGAGAGCAGGCAGAAGATCTGCTGTCATCTGTATGACTAATAGACACACACTGGTTTTAATCATCACTGGAAATAACCTGGTTTTGACATTTTTGTAGAAAGAACCACGCATTCTAGGTTTAGCAAAAGGCTTCATTTAGCAAGACATAAACAATACAAGCTTAATGCTGGAATCTGGGAAGTGAACTAGAGGATAAAAGATAGTATCCACACACAGACTTCCTGATTCTGAGGGAGAATGGCAAAAACATACCTAGAACTCACATCTTATCTGCTATTCCTCAATAACTCAGGACTCCTTGGTAAAATGGCAGAATGGAGGAGTGGGATAGGGAATAACACCAGGCAGAACAGGAGAATCCAGCACTGCCAGCAAGTTGGGGTGCGCTCCACAAACCACCCAACCACTCATGGGGGAAGGTGAAAGGGGCAAGGGACACCAACGGAACACTGCCTGATAAGCAAACAATCTGAGCACACAATGCAGCATTACAGCCAAAATTAAATATCCACGCATTCACGCTGATATGATTACATCATTTTTTTTTTTAAAGGAAGGAGACTCTTGCAGATTTCCAAATGAAAGAAACAGATTCCCACCTTCTAAGAGGTATGATCAGATCGCCTCCACCTTCCTAACGCCTCTCCACACAGGTGAAGTGATCATCGTACAATGCAGCTGGATACTGAGATAGTATTGCAAAAACAGAAAATAATTTAAATTTATTCCTCAAACCCAGGGCAAATAAAACTTTTTAATGTATATCCAATATTAGAAAATTCATAATGGGCAAATAAAGTTAAAAATAAACAAATGATGGGGTAGGTATTTAGCACAGCAGTTAAGATGTCTACATTCCATATCACACTGCTTGACATAATGCCTCGCCTCTGCTTCCAATCTGCTCTTCTGCTTTCACATCCCAGGAGGCAGCAAGTGGTGACTCAAGTACCTGGGTGACACCCACAGGAGAGC